CAGGAAGTTTGGTCTGGTAATTACCACATAGATTGAAATAACAAATACCTATTACAACACTTTCTCAAATCCTAGAGCTTTTAGAAGAAAATATAAAGGTATCTCCTCCTGGAAAACGTTGTCTTTCATCTTTGCATCCTTTAGAAAACCAGGTCTTTTTAAGTTTTCTGGCTAAGATGTTACTTTGTGATGTATCATGTGTTATATCTAAATGCATCTGTCGTGAAGCTTTGAGTTGACACATGTTCCTATTTATACCTATTCACTTAAAACAGTATTCACAGCTACACAAGATGGTTAATACAATATCAACTTCTAGAGCAAATATTCGAACTCTAAATCTCTATCAGAATAAGCAAATTCAAGGTAAAACTTCCCAGGTGAATGCAGGGCACACAAATAGGTCAGAATGGGTTACGGATAACACATGCTATCAATATTGAAATTTTGCAAATACAAATGAATTGTTGCTTTGCAGATTGTAATATTTCAGCACTCTGTAAATTTAAGTCTGCAGAAATACATAAACAAATATGTCTCCATTCTCTCTGTAGATTGATAGATAATAAAGAAATATTTGATAAAGATGATTTTTTCCCTCAGTCATATACTAATAGTTGGCATTGCATAATGACTCTAGAATAGGTCTGTTAAAAATAGTGGTATAGGCATTGGTGGAAGAAAATAGCATTCTTCCTTCTTATTAATAGTAATACCAAGCAACCTACATTTCTTGGGAAAACATTAGAAGGCACAGACAGGAGTCTCTACAAAATGGAAGAGCTCAGATATGGTATTTGGCAGACTTCCTTCTATGGCTGTTGGGGATTTAGATACGCCACAGTGAAAGCATGACCTAGAGGGATTGGGCAGATACATTGATAGATTGCAAAATAAGACTGGTCAGGTATACAAAGACCTGAAAACATTGATTTGGTAAAGTACAGGGCTTTACAGGCAATCCTTTTGTTAGCAACATCAGGTCTTGTATGTAGTTTTGTTCATGATATGAGATCTTACATAGCTACAGGTTGCCAGAAGCATATAAGCTGGTACTCTGTTCTACCTGAGAGTGGAAACAGAAGAGGATGATTCTGGTTGACAAAAGATAATAAAGTACAATTGGGGAAAATAGTGTGGGATCCAGTGGAAGAGAAAAAAAGAAAAACATAATCATATTCCCCATTTTTGCCAAACCAATATATCCTCCTATTGTTAAAAACTAACTAGTTAATGTATTGTACACACCTAAACCAGATAAATGCATGAGGAAAGATATAAAAAAGTAGCAGCACTAAATATCTGAAAATGTTTTAAGGAACCTATGAAAAGCCGTAAGCAACTAAAGAGTCAAAGCCCACAACACCAAAAAACAGAAGGCAACGGAAAAATGACAGAAAAAAAGATGAATCTGATAAATCAATTGTATTTTCTATGAAAGTGAACTGCAGCCAAACCTCAAACATCAGTTTTCCAAACAAATTCTTTCTAAAGGAGAAAATCAGATTAAATAAATCAATTCTCATGCACAAGTTCAAAGGCTAATGTCTTTAAACAGATTTCCATTGTATTTAACGCTTTACAACAGAAATCACAGGAGGATATTCCCAGGACTGAGAAAATTCATTAATACATATATAGTTCTGTTTTTTTTTTCCCTTTCTTTCCTCTAAAATGTATAATGTTACATCATTTATCAGTTTTCAAAAGCCGTATTTGGGGTTTTCTTTGATTTGTAAATCTGTTTAGCACTCAGAAAGCACTGGGAATTGGCACTCTGGAAGACCACATAAATCTGATGTTTATCCAAAAAAAAGGGAGGGGGAGAGTAAATGCAGTAGCACTTCTCTCTTTCACACATGCATTTGAAAGGATCTTCTGTAGAGAAGTAACTCTTGGCATGGTGAAACTAACCAATTTCCTCAATTAAGGGAGTTAAACCACCATCCCATTTCACATGGCTTAATGGTCAGCTTTGATACAGTAAATATTTTCAAGGTAGTAAGGTACAGTACATTGCAACTAATGATGTAAGAGGTGAAAGATTTGTCACAGTGTTACATACCAGAGACATCCAGTTCCACAGAAGTTATACACATTTAAATATAGAAAGCTCCTAAAGCAAACATTTTGCTGAACCTGTTGGAAAATTGATGTATTTTTCTCAGTTCTTATGTTTCACAAAATAAGTCGACATTCGTCATACTATTACAAGCCTAATTTTTTAGGCTAAGCTTTATCTTGCACTAACATAAACATTGTCAAAAAAGCCATATAGTTAGCTCTATTGCCATACAGTTAACAATATTGTCACTGTTTTAGGGGAAAATCTGAAAAGTGCACAACACTGTTATAACTGTCCGGCTGAAACCATTACAAATCACCCAAGTGAAGAAGTTAAGAGGTCTCATCAGATACTTTTTGCCCATAGCAACAGAAAAAATATCTGTCTGGTATTCTGAAGGAACTGCTAAAAATGGGGAAGGGGAGGATAAAGACAGGCACCAAAACACAGTACTAAGGCTTGGGCAGTACAGATGAAGAATCACCTATGCTAAGAGAAAAAGTGCTATGAAACTCACATGGGATACCATACCAGATCGATTCTTTTAGCACATTAGCCCTCCAACCAATAATGCAAAGGATAATATATGCACATAATCACCCCATTTATATCAAAACTTATCAAAGAACAGAAGGAAAAAAGGTGAAAGACAGAAGAGAGAGAGAGTTAATAGGATATTTTAAAATTAACATATAGAAAGAAGGGATGAATTTTTAGAAAGTAAATATTATTAGCATAACAAAGGCTCAGGGAAGTCAAAACAATCCAATCCTTGAAAGGCTACAGTAGGCTATTGCTCGAGTGTAATTTTATTTGTAATGGGCATGCCAATGGGTGCTTACCTTCTTATTCATTGTGGTTTAATCACACAGGAATATTCACCTCCTTCTTGGAGAAATGTTCAGAGGATATTAGAAACAGCAGTTCTGAAACAGGTCCCATCACCAAATTATTTACTTAGGTTACACTAGAAAACAAAGGATTTTGGGTTTTAAAATGCCAGACTTTCATGTTTGTGCATATATTGAAAGTTTTTTTCCTCAGGAATTATTGTTTTTTCCTAATGGGTTGGGGGGGTCCTTAAGAGGATAGTTTGCACCTTTTTGTGATTCCTGATGGAATCCTATCTATCCTATCTATCCTATCTATCACTAGCCCTCCAGGACTATAATGACTGTGATCTAAAAGAGCATATATTTTTACCTACTAACTATCTTTCTTACCAATAGTATTGACAAAAGGGTTGATTGATATTCAAAACTCAACTGGACGCTGCCCTGAGCAACCTGCTCTAGTTGACCCTGCGAGGGTGGAGGAGCTGGACTAGTTGATCTCCCGAGGCCCCTTCCAACCTTAGTTATCGCATGATTCTGTGCATATTGGACTAAAATATCTCAAATCCTAGGTCTCAAAGAAAGTACTTGTTGGAGAACCCAAACAGCTTGAACAATAGAGGCAAAATTTGAGGATACTTTTAAAGAGTGGAGAAAGTCTCATCAAAACACAAGGTATAGCCAAAAAATATTAATTCCCCACTAATTCTTGCTTTAGAATCATTACTATTACTTGGGAGCAGAAAGTAAAGATCCACTAGTCTGAATATCATATTAACAGCAGAAGGATCAACAGAGGCAGGGTCCCTTCTATGGTATAAAACAAACAGAAGGGCAGAATTTCAATATGATCGATACTGGCATACATATATTTTCTATATTTGGTGTGTCAGCACAGTTACAGCAGGTCTTCTTATAAAAATTAGTATCAACACTGTTCATTCAATGCTCTTCTTGAAAGTCAATGCTTCTGGAGATTATTTGACTTCTGCTCAACACTCAAGGTATTTCACAAGTAAATACAATGAGCTTTGACTACCATAAGGAGCACAAAGGTCTAGATGAGGTTTTGCTTGGGGAAAAAAAAGACAGTGTAAGAATACGATAAGAATTTCTGGGCAGCATGAAAAGGGGCAGAGTTTCTATCCCAGCGCTAAACAAGCAGTCACGTAAATACTGTGCAACAGAAAACAAACAAACAAACAAAGCAAGCTGAGGGAAATTTACCACGAAGTATACAAACAGATCACAATAAGTTTGCAGCCATCCTTAGCATGTTTGCCTTAGTAAATATAGATGAAGTACAACATTTCCTTAGGATAATAAATTATGTTAGAATTATGCCTAAATGCTTATTCCAGCTGCTTGGACTGGTAACTGACCTGGGAATATGAGCATGCTGCCATATCCGAAAGCCAAGAGATGCAAATCTTAACGATGAGAGGAAATGAAAGGCATTAAAGATGCCTGAGTGTTAGGTACAATGCTAGTACATACATATCCAGATTTCTACAGACGACTCACAAGGCAGGTATAGCATGCAGTTATCTCACAAGACTATGAGGCTATGAGGCTGTTATTCAGCGTGTGATAAACCATAGTAAAAGTTAGATGCTAACCCGTTCTGGAAGAAAATAGACAGCTGCCACAACCCAAAGGAGTAACAAGTATTTAACCATTAGTCATGGCATGCCTGTGTTAGCGTCAAATGATCACAAACCGTAGGTCACCATTGCTGGAAGAGTCCTAACAAACACTTCACGTAAAAATACATTGAGGTTTCTTTCACATTTAAATCTCTCAGTTGAAAATGGGATACAAACCTGAGAGACATTTGGTATTCGTAAATATACTCTGGAATATTTGTCAAAAGCACGCTTAATATTCAGTTAATCTGATTAACAGCTGTGCGTGTTGAAATGATTTTTTTTAATTGATCAGTCTCAGAAAAAATGTGAACTGTGATTGCCAGGCATACTACTAGGGATGAAACCTTGCAGAAAATAATTAGTAGACAATGGCTAAGACAGCATATTCTCTACCTGTTTGAGAACAATTCTCAGTTTTAGATAGGATTTTGGTTTAAAGCAACTAAAAGAGGCTTGTTAAGGAATGAAGGACACTAGCCATCCTTAAGATGTTTAAGAATAAAAAAAAGTTAGAACAGATATACAAAAGATAACTGGAGATTTAAAGATCTGAGAAAAGAATGTGCTAACACTTGGTGCACACGCTCAAATATCTACCAAGTGAAGAAAGAGAGCCTGACTTTGAAATACAGGAAGAGTTAACTTGTCATGAAGGAGACAATAAACATTATATGCTCAGAGCTAAATTTTCATAGGAAATTAACTTTCATAAGGCAATGTATGGTCTAGATCAAAATTCTATAGTTTGAATGTAAACTTAAGCTAAGAACTGTGCTTAAAGAATTATTAATAGTTATCTGTCAAGAAGGAAGGATGTAGCTAACGAGTTTACACAGCAGTCTTGTCCATGTAGTATCTGGATTACCTATGTAATCAAATAAAGGGAATACATAATAAATTTGCAGACTGCACTAGACTGGCAAGGATTGCCAGCATATTTTAAGATAATTTTACAATCCAAAATGATCTTGACAAACTGGAGACACAGGCTGAAAAAGTAGCTTCACATTCAATAGGAGCAAGTGCAAGATATTGCAGCTAGACAGAAAAAAAGCAGCTATATAACCTAGGAAGCAGTTGGTAGACAAAATATTCAGCAGAAAAAGATTACAGCCTTTTTGTGAATCACAGTGAGTCATGAGCCAACAATGCTTTGCTTTTCAAAAAAGGACTCTTGAGGACCTGGCGTTTACGAACAGTAGAATAGCACAAGCATAGCAGAATAGCACATAGGACACCTGAAATAATCCTTCCTTCCTTAGCTGAGTTGGGTAAGGCTTCAGGTAGATTACAGTACATTTCTTGAAAAAAATGAACTACTTGTTGAGAGTCCAGAAAACATGAATGAAAAATGGTAGGGGTACAGAAAATATATCCTGTGAAGGAAGATTTAATGAATAGGGACCGGTTAGTCTAAAAAGGGGGAAACTGAAGGGTGACATGATAACTGTTTTCAAATTCACAAACCATTTCTACAGAGGTAAAAGGAGTACTTTGTTCTCCAGGTAAGTAGAATAAGAAGTTAACGGGCTTGTACTGAAGGCAGGGTACATTAACCATAATAAACATCAAAATAAATTAAGAGGTTATAAAGCTCTCCAAGAAAGTTTAGACAAGTATATATCAAAAATCACAAGGCAGCAGGTTCTCCCTTGAGACATGAGAATGTCTAGATGATTTCAGAGGGTCCCTCCAGCCATATGACTCACTTAGGAGAAATGAAAAAAAGTGATTGATTGTTACTCTAACTTTCATGTGACAGCTTTACTAGGAGATTCTCTAGCTAATGATTATACCAAACTTCTGTTAATCAGGGCTTAGCTAATAATGTACTGCATTAAGAAGTCTGCAGTGAAGTACAAGTTACATCATGTTACTTTCCACAATCCCATGGAAACCATGAACCAATGGCTGAGCTGAAAATGGCCTATATAAGGATACAAACTCAAACTTCAACCTATAATTAGTATTATGAAATTCCAGGAACACATCAGTGAAACGTGGGTCACCATCTGCTGACATTTTGGCAAAAAAAAGGTAATTGAATGCCTGCCTAATTAGAAACGGATGTCAGAATCACCAAGTCTCTCAGCTAAATACAAAGATAGAAAAGGTAAAATAAAAACCCGTATTATGCTGAGTTCACAGAAACTGATATTCACATCTATATTGGGAAGCAAGGATTTTCAACAGCAGGGCTATCGTAAAGATACTTCCACAATCCCAGCAGATCATTATTTCTGCTAGATTCCAACTGCAATACCTTTTTCATGTTCCAGATGGGCAAGGGCAAGGGCCCATGTTGTTTGTTCAGAAATAGATAGTTTATGAAGAGGTCACATAAAAGAGAACAATTCTGACTTAAATACTTCCAAATAAAAATACAATTGAAAAAGGATAAGAAAAAAGTATCTGGAACAATCACCCTAAATCTTTTAATATACAGATCTCTTTGCTAAGGCACTTTATAACCAAAGTATACTTTGTCTATATGTACAGGATATCATAAAGATTAAAATTTTCCCCAACAACCGTCAATCCCAGGGGCCATTGAAAACACAACAGACTATCCGTTTCCTTGTAATCCATCAGGAATGCTAAAACTAACAGTTGAAAAGCAGCATGAAGCCCTGCAATCTCCAAGACCTAAGTATTTCTGTGGGCTATTAGTGTGGACGTAGCTCAGGCTTGGAACGTCTCCTTTGTTTAAAGCCCAAAATATCTCTGGCTGAACAGGGCCATAGTACCATTGCTCCTTGCCCATCCCCAGTCTATCCAGATTTTCCAGACAGGAGTTAGGCACTCAAAGCTTAATGTGCACATGTTCTTCTCCAGAAAATGCCAGGGTTCTCTGTCCAACTTGGGTTACTAAATCCTGGTCAACGTTGTCCCACAGTTTGGGTTGGGTATGAAGATGGCTTTGGTTAAACCACATCCTGAAAAACTGTAAGTGCTTTGGGTTACAAATAGTCTTTTTCCCGTATGTTCAAAACATTTAATAAAGGGCTAGCCAAATCCACTCTCTTTAATATTTAATAAAACCATTAAATACTACATTTACACATCAGAAAACTCCGTAAGAGAGTATTAAAGCTACTGAAGATGGATTCAGAAGGATTGCATCCCACATTAAGAACTGAAGATACTAGAGTTTGAGTCTTTATTCAGTTAATTCAGTCAACTAACTACTGAGCAAATCTGTTTAAATGTTTCAGAACCGGTAATGAAATGTTTGTCCTTACTAAGCCAACTTGACTATGCCAAATACAAAGGTTACAGGTTAAACTCAGAACCGCAAAACAGGCTGAAACACAGCAGTTAGTTAGAACATAAACCTGAACTTCTCTGGGCCTTTAAAATCTCAAGATGCTAATTCCTTTGTTTCATCAAAGTACTGGAAAACTTTATAAGTAAGTAGGACGACTGAACTCAA